GACGTTCGTAATATGAAGTAGGAAAACTCGGCCCGTTTTCACTTAAAACATCGTCCCGTGGACTGCGTTAACTTGAACTTGGTATTAAAGCCAAATAGCTGCAGTACAACGCGAATCAGCCATCGTCTTCGGTGAGATCGACCCATGAATATCTTCAGCATGTACTCGCATACGAAATGAAAGTCTCCACAACAATGAACTTTTTTCATAAACGATGATTTCTAACTTTCACGTTGTATGTTAGGGGGATACCAAAAGTACGAAGGCTCATCCCGGCTCTTGGCCAAATTGAGCCAAAAATTGTGTTCACTCTATTTCGTTTAAGGTAGATGAATTTGTCCATAATTCTATTACTATGCCTCATGTTTTTATCCAAATTCACATAGATATGAAGAGTAACTGGGTTTCGACGAATCTCTTAAGCTAACATTGTTGGGGAGACCTTCATCTCGTGTGAAAGGGCTTAAAGAAGAGATTCATAGATTGAACTCACCAGAAGACGGTGACTTAATCCCGTCGTATTAAAGCCGAACGGTTGCAATACAACGGGATTCACCCGTCGTCTTCTGGTGATATCAACCTATGAATATCTTCTTCATGCAGTTTCGACCTCACCTAGGTCTCATCATCAGTCCTGTATCATCTTAAAGGAAATAGAGTGAACAAAGTATTTTCTGAATATCTATTGGTAGTCTCGACAGACTACTTAAAAACGACGAGACATCATGAGAGACTCGCTCTGCCATTTTATGCCATCTTAAATATGAAGACCAAGAAGTTGTGGCCGCAGTCTCATTTCGCTGTATGAAAGTGGTCATTTCGTCAGGGCAGAATTGTATCTTGGTCCTAAGACAGACATGACTCACTGACGATACTACAATACTACGATGCCAGCGAAATGTCTGATAATGTACCAAGTTCATGGCCAAACGCTACTACGATAGCATACAAGGTGCGTCCAACTAGGTCGCCCTGACAACACGACCAAATCACGAAAACGAGGACACAGCACCGATGTCATCTTGCCCTTAGGTCTGCTGGCACCGCGTTTAAGCCCTGTTTATGAGGCTATTTTGGCCTGAGTGAAACAGAAACTTCAGTTCACGCTGAGTGAGAGAATACGTGATAAGATCTGAGCTAGCGCGAGGTGACTAATCGACTTTGGTAGCTAAGATGTTGTTTGACCTTGTTTTCTCTTTGACGAGTTGTTGTATGCTGCTAAGAATGGCGAAACGTTTGAGAATGTACCACGTCCACGGTCCGACTTTGGAAATGATGATGCATACAATGGACTCCGGACAAGATGCGTTCCTCTAAGTCTTCCTACCAATATGACCATGTTGCGAACACAAGGTCAAACAACTTCTATACAACGAAACGAGACTGCGACCACACAAAAGGCCACAGCATGTTAGTATTCATACCTTTGGTAGCTAAGGTCAGATTCGCTGATGGTTTCAACGTTGAAAGGTTACATTCGTCGTCCTCTGTACATCCGCTCGACAGGTTTGCCTGTAGGCGCGATTGTTCGTGGATGATGGTTTCTGGCTCTGACGATGTCCACCACATGAAGGACGAAGGCATTGGGGTCGCAGGACAATGAGCCTAGGTCTTCTTCACACAATTCAGCAGTCGCAAATCAAAGGCGATCCATCCTTTGGTGTACGATGGGGCAAATTTACGAATTGTTTCTATCCTTTTGTTTAGATGAAATGAAATATACACCAACACCACGTCTGTATTGGGCAGCAGATGGAGCGAAAAGTGTAAAATTTGTAACTTTTGGAAACAAATTTCTGGCACTTGAGGGCAATTCTTAAAATTGAAGTCTCATCCAGCCTAAAGGCAGGTATATAGTTAGGGAAGACCAGATGGATGGACGGACAACTTCGCAAGCATACAAAGCACCGTCTGACCGTTTATTTCGCCCGAAACTGGCGTTTTATCTCATTCTCATATGCCATTAAGCCCCCAGTCGCGTTTTGTCTCATCCCGCAGAAGCCTTAAGGCTACTTCCGCTGCTTAGTTCAGACTCAATTGAAATCGTGTCAGCCATCTTTTTGCCGCTACTCAAAGGCAAAGCTTCCGTCGTAAGGGTTCATCCGTTGTGCGCGAAAAGAGGTGACTTGGAGTCCCATTCTTTTGACGTACGCCTGGCAACAATGTCTGAGACGGTGCCTCTCAGCATTGAGTCACCACAATTGGTAGACTTGACGCATTTCAGTCCTGAGAACGGCCCTGTTTTCGCAATCAAGACGAAAGGTCAGTGCTATAGTGACGCTGGTCGATTGACAGCGCGAGAGTGTGTAATGCTGTTACATCGAAGCTGGGCTGATCGGCAAATCCTTGAAGAGCAAATGGCATAAGTGACTAGCACAACAACAAGATTGAGTTTGCAATTATCTCATATATCAGCTTTATGATTAAATACTGATAATCGGCGAGCTTACTGCCATCTCGAGCGAAGCTGTGTTGATGAAGAGATTCCGCCAGAAGACGACGGCCGATTCCTCTTGACCAGCTGTCGATTGGCTTTACTGCAACATTTCGCTTTCGTCCGTCACATGACGAACATCATCAGATCAAGGTATCATCGCCACAACAAAATTTAAGCTAACGAGTCAAGAAAACTAACCGGCATATCCCTAAAAATTGGTATATATATACTCTACATCTGGCCTTTTTGATCAAGTATAAAGTGATTTGGTTAGTTACGGTCATATGTCAACCTGGAAGCCAAATCACTTTGTACCTGATCAACGAGGCCAGATATAGAGTATATATACCGCTTTTTAGGAATTTTCCGGTGCGTTTTCTTGATTCGTGAGCTTGAATTTTGTTGTTACGATGATACCTTGCTCTAATGATGTCCGTCATGCGACAGACGAAAGCTTAGCACCTTTTCACCGGAATCGAAGAAGATTGCCTCGAAAACAACGTCAACATTATTGTTCCAGTAAAGCGAATCGACGACTGGTCAAGAGGAATCCGCCATCGTCTTCTGATGGAATCGACCTCGGAATCTCTTCACCAAACACCTTCACTCGAAATGGTAATAAGCTCAACAATAAGAAAACCAGAGACTTTTTCGCATAAATTGTAATTCTCCTTTTTTCCGAGACTCGTCTTTCCCATCAAACCACCCCGTTTTTAGCACAAACTGCGGATTTTATTACATTTTTCGTATGGATCGGGATACCACTAGCAAGCGAGCATTTGTGGAAAAATCACCCTCTTGACGGCCCTCTCATGAAGCCTGAAAATTGGGTACTGAGAACTCACTTCTCATGGTTATACAGGGGATTCTTCCAGTTACCGAAACCACTTCTCTGCATT